CGCTCGAACTAACCAGCCAAAGTCCGACCTCGCTCGAACTCCTAACGGGTTACATTTCGACCTCGCTCGAATTTATACCCTTACGGACCCCGGCCATCGCCAAAAATTCGACTTTCATTCAAGCTAATAAAGTTCAACCTCGCTCGAATTAACAAAAGTAAGGTTCGACCCTGAACTAACGAGATGAGATTCGACCTCGCTCGAATCAGCGAGTTAAATTCGACCTCATTCGAATTCCTAACTAAAAATATGGGAATCATCACGGGAAAATCTGAAGATCTACTTAAAAAAATGGATGAGAAAGAGAGTCTGAGATATGCAACCAACTATCTTATTCAGATATATATATATATATATATATATATACATAAATACACGACAACGTCTTACAAAAGGCCGAAACCGTGCCCCTGTAGAAAGAAAAAACAAGCAACAACAAAAGAAAAAAAAGAAGAGAAGAGCTAAGCACAAAAACTTCACTCGGCCTCATCTCCACCACCGTCCTCGTCGGCATTGTCATGATCATAAGAGAGCCCTTCTTCAATCTCAGCACCCCCACCGGCCTCCGGTGTCGCAGGGTCATAGCCGCAGGCAAGGCGAGTCTCGCGTGCCTTGGTCCGAGAATCTTAAAAAACGGCCTCAGGAACGCTCCCCGCCACCCACAAACCCTTAGATATAACTCGTTGGGCCTCATCATGGAGCCATAGCTCGTACAAATGGCGGGGGATGGCAACAGAGGCAGATTCCTGATAGGGGGGCCGAGCCAACAGCTGCGCCTTCTCGGCCTCGAGAGCCACAACTTGGTCTCCCAGGTTCGAAGCCTCCCGCTCGAGCTCACCGATTCGCTCCTCGAGCCTTGCCTCCCTTAGTACGGCTGTTGCCCTCTCGGCTTCCCACTCAGACCTGAAGATGCGGATAGTGTCTTCCAGTGCCGCTGCCCTCGCCAAAGCCGCCACTCGGGCTCCCTCGGCCCTCTCCAACTCGGCCACCTTCCTTTCTTGCTCAGCCACTTTCTCCATCCACTCCGCACTTAGATCGGCAACTCTGGCGGCATTCTCCTTAAGCTCGGCTCGCAAGGATAGCACCTTCGCTTGAAGATCCTCGCATTCTGCCACAACCCCTTTGCCCACCTCGAGCTCCTCGTCTTTGGCCCTAAATAGCCCCTCAAGCTCGCTACATTTACAGATAGACCGTATCAGATCCTCGTCCTTCAACTCCAACTCCTCCTTGAGGGATTGAGTACTAGTGCCCGCCCTAAGCTGCTCGTGCATCTCACGGCACCTGTTGCGATACTAGCAGTACTTCGTGGCCATTTTCAGAAAGAAATCGGCCCGCGTTTTAGCCTGACGAGCACTCTCGATCTCCGTCATATAAGTCTAAAAAAAGAAGAAGGAAGAATCAGAAAAGTAAATGGTACAAAACAAAGAAAATAGCGAAAGAAAACTCACCCTCAAGGCCATCCCAGCCACGCCGTGTGACAAAACGGAATCATTGATCTCCCGAAGAGATCTGCTTTCGGCGGCGGAACACAGAAGATCAAATTGGGGCACCAAGTCCACCGTGTCCTCCAACATGTTAAAATATTATAGAATTTCGAGCACACGGGAAGGGCCTTCCGCCCTCATATCGACCCTGGTAAAACCTTCCTCGAACATCCTCATATCCCCATCATCAATATCAGAATCAGATTCGTAGTCATCTCCCACTACGCCCTTCAACCTCTCATTAGCCGAAGAGGGGGCGCAGCCTACCGAGACGTCGATGGACCGCTCGAAACAATCGCGGCGGCCTCCAAACTCCGCCCCCCTGCCACGACAGCCTCTTCTACGTTCTAACGGGCACCGCCTCCATACCCAGTCCGGTATCATCGCCAGCTTCAGATACCGCCAAAATAGGGTCGCCCCTCGAGGGCGTTTCAACCAAAGATGCCCCCTTTGACAACCTCCGTCTCTTTGACGGGGCCTCTTCGGTACCACCACGAAAAGGTTCGTCCGCTGAATGGACTGTGGGGACCGGAATGTCCGACCGAAGAGCAACCTCCGAACGAACAGGTTCAGTCGCGGGCGCGGTCCGCCGAACAACCAGACTTTGGACGCCCCCATCCACAGTTACCCTTGGTACGGGCCGGACAGGGGAAACCGGTCGAGGGAAAGTAAGGACAGGAGCCCTTACCCTTCTCGCTCCTCTCGAACCTGCCAATGAGAAATTCGACCAAACAAAGATAAGATAAAAAAAAATACAGGGCAAAGAACAAAGCAACTAAGGCCGAAATAAACCGACTTACCAACGGAAGGTTTGCGCCCAAACCTCTCGGGAAAAGGCGCCCATTCGCGGATCTCCATCGTGTGGGGCAGAATCAAGCTCACCCATTCGCAAATATTGGCAACTTGAGGAGGAAGTACCCTCTCGACTGCGGAAACAAAAAACACTCGACGGACATTAAAGGGAGACGACCAACAATTATTTTCAGAAAGAAAATATAATATAATAAAAGGAAAGGGAGACTTACGGGTGAAATTCCACGCCTCAGGAAACCCCGCAGGGTTCGATACCACATGCTATGTCCGGACGTAGAAGAAGTTCTCCCAAAAGTAGCGATTGTCCTTGTCATCCATCTTCACCACCAAACCCTTGGTTCCTCGGTGACGCAGGTGAATCATCGTGCCCCTAAGAAAATGAGGGGCGAAGAGGTGAAACATGTATTGTAGAGAAATTCCTCGATCGGCCAGCTCCGCGTACTTGATAAGCATAAGGAAGAGCTTGTATACGTACGGAGAGAGTTGAGTCGGACACACCTCGTAGAAGCAGAAGTCCATCGCCAACGAGGGAAGCCTGGAAGGGGAAGCGAGTATCCAGTGACAAACGGATATGCATAAAACGCGCAGTAGCCGGGGCGGTGTATATGCACTTTGTCACGACCCGCCGGAACTAGTTCAGTGTGATCAGGGATTCCCCATTTGGCTTTGAACTCCGTGAGCACCGCAACATCCATCGTAGAAAGAACAGGTTCCGGCTCATCCCCCGCAGGACTATTGAAGTCAGTCATTGCCTTCCCTAGGCGGGGAACCACCTCATCTACCGTCGGAAAACTCTCGTCCTCCGCCGGACCCACTCCCTCTTTGAGTAGGGGTATATCGATTTTCGGCACCGGAGCACCAACGACTCGATCAGGGTTAGAAGAAACATTAGCCGTTGCTTTGGGTGACTATACGGGTCGGGAGTGTAAAGAAAGGAGGGTAACAACCACGAGGATTGTTGGTAGAAAAAGAAATACGAATAATTGAAGAAGAAGAAAGAACGCTTTAAGATTGTCTTGTGACAATTGGGAAAATTTCCCCTATTTATAGAGATATGAATATGCTGGTTTTGAAAAACCAAGCGCCGCCTTTTTTTTAAAAAAAATAACGGGAGTAGCACGGGAAACGATGCGACACACAAAGAACGTGTTCCATAATGACGCCTGACGAATTTAATGCCATTTCGAACTGACACAATGGTCTGACGAAGCACTCGAAACATCACATTATCATCTCGCTAAGAGGTGCTCGCCCATCGCCCAAAACACTCAGATTTCTCGAAAAGTTCTTATTGACGAGGTCCGCTCATCGAGCTCGCCCAAAGACGACCTCAATAGGCGGAGGGACTAACTGTATGGGTCGAAATCTAACCAGACGAGAATCCGCGTGAAGAGGAGCGGCAAAACGTCATTGGGCTGAAGTCGTATCCATACAGCGCTATAACGACACGCACCTCGGCCACGACTAAGGTCGTGTATTCAAAATGCTTGAACGACGGATTGGATGTTACGACATTTCGGATGGTCAACCAGCAGTACAGTCAAATGGCTTAGGTACTATGGCTAATGACCGTTGTGTAAACGAGAATACCAGTATATAAACTTAGTGAGAGGAAGAAAAAAAGGGGCAAAAAACAAACTCACACACAGACATACTCTCAGAGAAGAAGAGGGATCTTCATCTCTCTCTCACCTCTATAGAGAAAGGAACAAGGAAGCTTAGATCCTCAATATACATTGTTAGTCTCATCATGTCAAATATGCGGGGGTCAACCTTGTTAAAGATCGGCGACCCTTTTTTATCTATGTATTCTTCACTATTATTCAATGTAATGAAAGTTACCATCTTCTTCTTACATAATGGGACTCAATCATTGTTATAGTTAAATCTTATGTTTGCTTATTCTTATCTTCCATCTTAGATATAGGGTAAATTATTTATGACTAGCATTTACCTCAAATCTTCTTATTTAATTAGTTCAATAAAAAGTCTAAATCTTTTTGGTCGAACAACGTTGCCAAGAATTCAAGATCATTTATTTTCAAGGTCACTGGGCGTAATTTACTTGTTACGACGAACCTACAAAAAGTTGGGATTGCTTAAGAAAAAGGAAATGAAAACTCAAAAAAAGAAAAAAGAAAAAAGAAAAAAAAAAAGGAAACAATTTATGGCGGGAAATGCAGTAGGGTGCCTCTTTAGCGGGAAAATGATACAATCTCTGTACAAAATCTGACATATGTAAGTATAATATACTATACTATCATCTTCCGGGTTCACAATCAGTGCCGACAATTAGCCGTGATTCAACTCGCCTCTCCGGTGGCAACAATCCAATGGCTGAGATCCAATTATCCACTCCTCAGAAGCGCAAACTCAGATCCAATTCGACTCCTTCACCAATGCAAAGCTCTTCTGCTAAATGGAAATCTCCTCGTCGATGCGTCAAAGACTGCCCTAAGAGTCCTGTAAAAGTAATTCTATTTGTATTTAAAATGCATCTCCTCATTGGATTAGTAGATTCATACTTTCTTAATCTTAATCTTAATCTTTACTCAGATGCAGGGCAATTGTGGGGATAAAACAATAAATGTGACCAAATCACCAGTAAAAAAGAGATTGTCGGAGAGTTTTCTTCAAAAGCCAATGTGGAATCCAAGAGGGAAGTTTTGATAACTATTTTGATCCATAATTTGAAGTTTATAGATGCGGTATTCTAGTCCGTTTAAGTTATTGGGTTCTAAATTAATAATTTGTACATATTTAATAGATTTCTTATTAAAGCTACCGGGTTCGGCCGAACCCATAATCATTGTTCTAGCTCTGTCCCTGGGGATGTTTAAGCTAAAGTTCATTTACTCCACAAATATTATGTAGATGTGGAGCAATTAAATGTGGTGAAGGAGGCATTGCATGTGTCTACTCCTCCAGCAACAGCAACTGTGGTGTGTCGAGAAGTAGAGTACAATAGAGTTTTGGATTTTTGCAAACAATCTGTAGAACAAGACAAGGCTGGGAGTTTGTATATATGTGGCTGCCCTGGCACTGGAAAGTCTTTGTCAATAGAGAAGGTCAAGGAGGACCTAGTTGATTGGGCAAATGAGGTGTGTATATACATATATATAGCTCGTTGTTTACTTGTTGGTTTGTGATGTTCAAATCCAAGGGAAAGACATCCATGCATTGAAAAATTTGCAGTTGTTCCTTGGCCAAATCATTAACTATTTTCATCTACATTGTCCATAATTTGTTGGCCTGAACTGGGCTGAAGTGCAGTCAAATTGCTAAACTCTCATCTTATAGTGCAATTAAATCAGTAAAATTGAATGTATATGCAAGGCGTACTGGTGCATTAACAAAGCTAGAGATAATTTGAATCTTGTCTACTAAGAGATTCCCATCATAATTGTAAATGGAAGCTGCTGTATAAAGTACTTTGGAAGAGGCAAGCGGCAACTATTACAGTAGCTGAGCTTCTATCCTCGAATGGAAGCATCGAAATGCAGGAGTTGTGCATACTGTTAGTTTTTGTCTTAAGTTGAAGTCGGTTGAACCAAACAGTTTCTTTTTCCTCACTCTTTCAATGGCCAAGAACTAGTTTGTTTTTGTTTATTATTTGGAAATTGTTGGATCTTCATTTTGTGCGAGAAGCATTTGAAGGTTGGAATGTGTTGATTGATCTTGAATTAACTCAGTATATAAACTTAGCGTATGTAACTTTGATAGTTGTGTAGTAGGTAACCTATCCTTATTGGAGTCATCTTTCTAACTATTGTAATGGTTAGTTCTAACCAACAATTTATTTGCTCATTTCAGTCAGCCTTGCAGGCACCAGATTTGTTATCTCTCAGCTGCACTTCTCTGTCAAAGACTTCTGACATTTTTGGAAAGGTTCATTATCTTTAAACCTGATTCTGAAGCTGAATTATGCAATCTCCATATGCTGATGTTATGACCTTTTGACAGATACTCGATAAAATTCAACCACGGAGAAAAGCAAATGGTTCTATTTCGCCTTTGCAGTATCTTCAGAAAATGTCATCTCAGAAGCAGCTGTCAACTGGGGGGAAGATGACGTGAGTACTGTATTAAATGCTTTATATTATTAGCACCTCAAAGGTCCATTGTCTTTGCTTAACATGATTCTTTTATAGTAGTATTTATCAAGTCAAATTGCCTGACAATGTGAATTGCAATGAAGTAATTTTCACAAGATACAATTATTGTGTTTCTCATACGGATTTTTTCTTTTGAAGGCTTTCTCTCTTTAACAAGCTAAATGCTCAACAGGTTGATAATCGCTGATGAGATGGATTATTTAATCACAAAAGACCGGACTGTGCTTCATGATCTGTTCATGCTAACTACGTTTCCTTTCTCCAGATTTATTCTGATAGGTAACACTTACAAGAAAGTCAATTCTTTCTTTATTCATTAGAAATTTTAAGTATGACTACATTTTGAATTGAAAGAAGTAGCTGAATTTCTGTTAACCATTTCTCATTACTTTATTCTACTTTTACAGGAATTGCTAATGCCATTGACTTAGCTGATAGATTTCTTCCCAAGCTACAATCCTTGAACTGTGAGTATCTTTGTCTTTCATGTCCTATCATTTTCCAAATTCTGCTGTCTTGTTTAAGTGCATCTGATTTTGAAGAGAGTGCCCAAAAAGTCTCAATTTTGGATTCAATTCTTAAATGAGTGGGCTGAAATGTTGTTGTGTGTGACAATCTTTCTGATGTTTAAATATGTTGACACCAGCAAAATAGAGAGTGGAGCATTAACTTTCTTTGGTAGGGGATTCTTCCTTGATTTTCTGTAGTGAAAGCCTGTTTACTAATTTCTCCTCTTCAATGTAAAATTATGCTAGATAACCCATTCCATGTGGAAAGGAATATAATCCCTGACACATGATGCTGTACTTTCCTAGGCAAGCCTGCAGTTATAACATATCGTGCATATTCTAAGGACCAAATCATCTCCATTCTTCAACAAAGATTAGAGGTAATTCAGCTGCTTCTATTTTCAAACTCTTTCTCTATCTATTTGCTGGATTCTGATCCCCACCATTTACTCTGTACTTAACAGTCAGCATTATCTCTTCATTTTGTCATGATAAAGTTAGACTTATAGTAGATGCATTCAAACGATTTGAATAAAACTTGCAGAGGAAACAGTTTTAGGGGGTTAGGATACGAAGTCTCAGTCCATTATGTCCTAAGTTGCTCCGATACGGCAGTTTAGGTGCTGCACCCGTGTCAACGCAACACTAGTATGGGTATGGGTATGCGATCCGTACCGGATTTGGCCAAACAATTTTAGGTACTTTGACCATGACGGATAAAAAAATTCGAGACGAGATACAATTTGATTCCCGAAATCAGAACCAAAAATAGGGTAAATTTGAAGAAAATAACATACCTTATCTAGGAAATCAATCCTCTACTTATGTACAACTTGAGAATAAAAAAGAAAGCCACACTTTACAAGCTATACGTAAGTATTACACGGAATTTCTCATAATTTAGAGATATTTTATTTTTTGTATTATTTTTAGCTGGATCCCCGCACCCGTATTCATACTAGGATCCGTATCCCCGAATTTCAGAATTTACGTCTCGAAAGATCCGGCCTCTAGATCCGCCCCCGTATTGGACACCCGCACCCGTGTCCGAGCAACTTAGATTATGTCTTTAATCAATGTCTTGGTACAATAGAATAATATTGTAGAATCTTTTGTTATATCTCATCCATATTAATTTAGCACTTTTGAGCTAGTGACTTATTCTGGTGTCATTATCAACAGTCAGGAGTCTGCATGGAGAAACTTTATGTGATACATAAATTTGCTGCACAATAGTAACTTGTGGACCATCAACTTTTGCATCGTGTTAAAGTGTCAACTTTTTAAGTGTATGTTTTTCTTTGCCTTGAAAACATTTAGATGATCTAAAAGGTAGCAATAAAATAAACAATTGCATAGCAGTTAATATGTCCCAGACTCCACGGTGTGGGATAATACTGGGTATGTTGTTGTTGATTAACAGTTATATGAGTATCAGACAGGTCTCTGTAATACACATTTTTTTTGTAAGCTACTGTAATACACTTAATCTGTTAACCAATGAAATATAAGTAACTCACTAACTAGGTCAGATTTTGTTTTTTAGGAGTATTAACTAGGTTAGATTTTACAAGCTAGTGCAGCAACTAGCTGGAAAGAAATCTAATGAATGACCAAGGTCTGGCTTTCAGGATTCCCAGCCGAAGTAGTCAACGTACAAATTAGCTGATCAACTTTAAACCAAAGCTATCTGCACAAAGCATGGCTTCAGATCATTTTTCACGGCTTTATGTTTAATGAGAGATTTTGTTTTATGTGTACCCTTTATCAGGCATTTCCTTACACTGTCTTCCAGCCTCAAGCATTGGAACTATGTGCCAGGGTAAGTCCATTAGAATCCGTATTTTCTTAACTTTCATTTAGATAGTGTTGTACTGCGAGTACCTTTGTTGTGATCCACTTGTCTACTCAAACTTAAGCCTATGATGAAAGACTTATTTCAGAATATAGTGCACTTATATAGTGCTTCTAATGTGGCAGAAAGTTGCTTCTGCATCTGGAGACATGAGGAAGGCTCTCTCAGTTTGCAGGTTGGTGAATTTCCCTGCAAGTTTGACTGACCACAATTTGAGCAAATTTCCCGATTTGATATAATTTGTTGTCTTAGTAAATCTTAACTTGTTTAATTGGATGAGATAGCATTGTATTCATTGAGCTATATGCTGCCCGTAGCTAAACCTGCAGGATTTTGCATTGACATACACGTATATACAGTATCCGTCTGTATATTAGTCTGAGTTATTGGGGAAGAAGAGGGGTAGGAGAGTAATATAGAACGTTTGATTTCTTATGGCTAATATGCTAAGGTACTCTTTAGCAGCTGATTTGTACCTACATGCACTTTGATACTTAAGTTTTTCCCGTGAGCATGTGATCTTATCTTAATCTTAGATTTGTTAGAAGAGCTTCTTGTACTACTTTTTGAAGTAAACTTGTTTCCATTTTCATTATTGTTTTCAGGAGTGCAATAGAGATGTTAGAAGGTGAAATAAGAGATTCTATCTACAGCCTTCAGTTACCATCATTAAAGATGGGACTTTCTGATCAACAGAGAGGTGGTTCTTGTGATAAGTTGCCTATCCAAGAAAGTGGAGTTGTGAGTATTGATGTTATTTTTTCATCTTTTTATGCTATCAAGGTTTTTATTTGCTATTTGTGGATTTGTAAATTACGAGGGCCAGTTTGATTTTCATATATCAAGATGTCATCCTCAATTTTGTTTTATATATGATAAAAGTAGATAAGTTCACAAGAGTTCTTATGAGCAATCACTAGTAGGAGTTGCATGGATTCTACTTGTGAAGCTATTTTCTTGCTCAAACCTGCAATGCACTTGGTATACATGTATTACGTTTTCATTGTTCAGTGAATGAGCTTATCAGCAATTCTTAATGTGGTGATGAGCAAATAGTAACGTTCTTTCATGATACGTTTGGCCCTCATATAAAGTCATTTTTCTTTTGTATCATGTGCTGCTATTTTTTTAAAACTTGTGTAAAACTTGGAACTCCTTTTAACAGGTCAGGGTTGACCATGTGGCTATTGCTTTATCAAAGGCATATAGATCTCCGGTAGTCGATACCATTCAATCGCTTCCACAACATCAACAGGTAAAGTCGTGTTTGTACCCACTATGAGACATTCTTGAGTTACTTAGACATATCTTCACATTAGTTAGATAGAAGAATTTTGGAGTTTACTTTCTTTCCATATTGTAGTCATCTTTTAGTATCTACTTAGTAGAAGAAGCTATTTAGGTCCCTTTATCTAAAACTGGAAAACATTTGCTACTGCATCGTGGTAAGAATACACTCCTTCCCATGAAAAGGCAACTAGACTATCATGGTGTCTATGCAACCACCAAACAGCTCCGCCCAAAAAATAATAAAGAGGAGAGAATAAAAATTCAACGACGAAAGAGGAAACAAATTGTTTATGAACTTAAGATCATAGGCAAATTTTAGCGGCTCTATTTTTGTGGTATAAGGAAGCATACAAGTTTTTGGTGTGGAAAAAAAAGACCAGACAAGTATTTTGGTAATTTGCATCTCTGTTAATGCTCAAGACCTGCTCAATAAAGCAACTCTTCTGTGAGGTTCCCTAAGTTGTTATATAGCATAAAGAAAGCACACCCTTCCATGCCAGATAGTAACAGCATATAATTGGTATTCTGCTGCAGATTATACTATGTTCTGCTTTGAAGCTATTCAGGGGGAAGAAGAAGGATGCGACTATAGGGGAGGTAATTTTTGTTCTTTTTTAGCTGTGTGAGAATTAGTAATACAAGGAAATACACGGGGCGAGGCTTATCTGTATTCTGGTGCAGGTGAATATCTCATACGTTGATGTCTGTAAATCGACTTTAATCCCACCTGTTGGAATCATGGAGCTCTCAAGCATGTGCAGAGTGCTAGGTGACCAGGTAACATATTGAAAACGGATCATTAGCAAACAATCCTCCCCCCCCCTCTTTTGATGAGTTCTCAATAAAAGAAGAGGAAGAAGCATAACACAAGGTGATAACTAAAACGCAGGGGATTCTAAAGGTAGGACAAGCGCGAGAAGATAAATTAAGAAGAGTGACGCTAAACATAGATGAAGCAGATATCACCTTCGCATTGCAGGTAAAGAAGCTATTTCTTTGTGCTCTCGCTTCTACTCTTATTTTATAGGCATGTGGTTAGAGTTCATATTCTTTCATGAATAAAGTTATGCACTAGTAATATATTACAAAATTTTGGAGCAGGGAATACGTTTATTTCGGAATTATCTTCAACAATTGTGATGGGCGACACACAAGATTATGTATACCTCTTTATACATCTCAACACAATAAATAGCAAATTCGTGTCCAGCATTTAAGGTAAATTCATTTACTTGAATTTCTTTAGAGGCTAATGTTTGAAGGAGATATGTCTGATTCGTCTTCTGTTGCTGACTAACAGATATCGACCTGAAAAAAGCAGATCCATTATATAAAATAGCTCTAATTATGGTTACACTAGTTTAATCTTTGTACGTACACAATTTGATATATTATACACCATTTCTCGATCAAACAAGTCCTTGATTTGGCACTTTATCAAATTTGGTACTCGTTAGTCATCACAATTAAACCACAATACAACTCATAGAGAAATGATTTCATAACCTTCTTATTATGCAATTCATGGAATACAACATTAAATATATATGAGACACATATTTAGAAGTATGTAAACAAGTGACAAAACCAATAAACATAAGGAGAAACAACTATGTATAAAAGCAAAGTTATATTCTGGCAATCTTGTTTATCATGCCTTGTTGTGAGGATAGAGCTTGACCGGAAGTCCCTTCGCCGGAATCGGCATCGGATTGACGACGATCTTCTCGTCGGGAATGATTTTTTCCCACTTAAACCTCTTAACAAGATGGTGCATAAAAACAAGTATTTCTAAACGAGCATACTCTTTTCCAGGGCACATCCTAGGTCCACCTCCAAAGGGTACAAATGTGTATGGTGCAGGTCCTCTTCCTTCAAATCTTGAAGGGTCGAATTTCAGAGGTTCTGGAAATACTTCTGGATTTCTGTGTGTAGAATTTGCACTCCAGTATATCTGCAATAAATTTTCAATGCATGAAGAAAAGTTAGTCTCCAATATTTATTTATTTATTATTCCCTCCTTCAATTAATTTATGTGTCTCTTTATTTTGTTTTTAAAAAAGCCATGTTTCAGTATATACAACTTTCTAATTTCAACATTCTCATTTTGCCCTTAAATGACGCTCTCCCTTATAGGAATAACATAACCAGGGGCGGAGCTATATATAGTCATCCTTACGGATTTTGTAAAATCCAGTAGCTTTAGGCAAAATTCTGTGTTTGTGTAAAGTTCATTTCATAAGTTAATATGTCCAAATAATTTATTGAGAACCCAATAAGCAAACTTTCTAGAATTCAACCGAACAAATTCTGGCTCCGTCTCTGAACATAATTGACATGTTTAAGTGGGCGTTTGGACATAAGAATTGTAAAATTCCAAAAAAGGGTGAAATTTTTTTTTCAAGTGAAAATGGTATTTGAAATTTAGAGTTGTGCTTGGACATGAATATAATTTTGGGTTCTTTTTGAAGTTCTGTGAGTGATTTGAGTGATAATTTTGAAAAATGGTTTTTTTTGGAGTTTTTCAAATTTTGGAAAATTTCCTAAATGCATCTTCAAGTGAAAATTAGAAATTTTTATGAACAAACGCTGATTTCGGGTTTTTTTTTTTTTTTTGGAAAATAAGGGAAAAAAATTCTTATGTCCAAACGGGTACTAAGACTATAGGATTCAAAGGATTCTTTGGTATTGTTATATACCTTTAAATTACGACAGTATGATGTTTTAAAATTTCGTGTTCAGTCAAACTAAAAAACATAAAATAAAATAAATTGCTTGTACCTTCCATCCTTTTGGAATGGAGAAACCGTTGAAAGTGAAGTCAGCGAGGGCTTCCCTAAAAGCACCTTGGAGGGGTGGAGCAAGTCTTAAAACTTCACAGGCCACATTCCATGAATATCTCATCTTTTGAATGTCTTCCCAATTCAATAATTCTCCTTGAACCTTTGATTTTGCAATCTCCATTTGTTCTATTTTTGATCGAATACAAAAAACGAAAAAAGAAAAAAAAAGGAGAAGACATAACCAATTTAAGTTACTATTATTGCTTTTAAAAGAGACTGCATTAACGGTTAAGAATAAATAAAGTTACATGTAATTAATTTTTAAATATCTTAATAATGTAAAATATATTTTATGCTAATGTACAGAACTAAACTTAAACTCATATGTTAAATCTTAAATAATTTACTGTACTCAAAATAGTAAAAGTTAACAACATACAATTGAAACACGTTGATATTATTAACCCAAATAACTCTCCACCCAACCGCTTAAACTAAAAATAATCGGTGGAGGTATAATATGTACATAATTTATGTGTATAATTATGTATAATATAAACTATGCATATGGTTAGAAAAAATAAACAATGAATATGAACGGCCCTTTGTGTAAAGATCCCGGGAAACCTTTGTTTCTTTTTTAGGAAATTGGTAAAACAACAATATTCTATGATTTAGCTAATTAATTAATAGGAAATAATTTAATTTGTTCATGCGCTCACAAACTCGAAAGGGAAAGAAAATAAAATTTTGTTTTTTTTTCTGGTTATCTTATCTTCGTTATCAAATGTCCAAAAAGAAAAGAGAGAATATTTTGTAAGAGAAAAATAAACGTTCTCCCATTTAAAAGAAATGACATTTTGAGTGAGTAGGCGATTTATCCAATGAAAGTCTTTTTTAAATTTTAAAGTCAAAGGTCTGGTAGTGTTCCTAAACTAAGTGCAAATTTTGGTAAAATTCTACTTCTGGCTAATTATTGCGCTCAGTCAAGTCCACGAGAATGTTATGCAGAAGTAATTTAAAATAAAATATGCACTAATCATTATCAGTGAATATTAAAAGTGTTAGTTGGCTAGTTGCCATATCTATCATGTTATTAAATACCGTGTCTCGTAGATATTATTTGTATATTTGTAATTATATTAATAAGTGACCTGATTGTCCAAATATTTGTAATACCATCCATGCATTAAAAACATACAAAGAAGGTAGTATTAAGTCATAAAAACTGATAGTATAAAAGGTTTTTACACTATAGGGGTCGTTTGGTAGGGTGTATAAGAATAATGCTATATATGGTGTATTAGTAATACATGGATTAGTAATGCATGTGTTAATAATGCAAGCATTAGTTATGCAGAGATTATTTTTTATACATTGTTTGGTGTGGTCTATTAAAAACTATAATGCATCGCATAATTTTTTAAAAAAATAGCTGTTTACAAAAATGCCCTCTATATTTTTTTTTTAAGGGACTTTAAGGATAATTTTGTCTTTAGACATACTAATGCATGCATTAACAGCCTTGGTATTACTAATACCATGGTTTTGCTATGCATTAGCTATACACAAGATAATACCAAATAGGATGTATAACTAATGCTTGTATTAGTTATACATAAGTTGAAAAAGTGTACCAAACAAGGTATTACTAATACACAAAACTAATGCAAGCATTATTTTGTGTAATGCACTCTACCAAACAACCTCTATTAGTATAGTTCATCCCAATTATAGTAGCGCACCCTCTGTTCACACGGGATCCGGAGAAGGGCCGTATCGCAGTAGACGGTCTACTATAATGCAAGCATTAGTGTGATATAAACAGTGATCTACCCCAATTATAACAGGTTAATTATCATATGTATTATATTATAACTGACCTGATTGTATAAATAATTTTTAAATAATCAGTGCATATATAATATGTATACAATGAAGGATCAAAGCTTGTGTTACCTTTGTAAACTCCTTCATAGATCTCAGGAAGCTCAGCAAGATACTTGACAATAAAAGCACAAGCAGAACTAGCAGTGTCATGTCCACCAATCAACAACCCTAATATTTTATCAGCAATATCCAATTCATGCATAAACATTCCATTTTCATCACTTGTCAATAACATATGTGACAATATATCTTGATTTGGCAATACTTTTCCCTCAGCCAAATCAATCTTCCTTTGCTTTATAATTTGCACAAGTTCCTTTCTAATAAAATTCGAGGCCTTAATTGCACGATTAAATGGCGTACCAGGCAAATCTATAGGAATAGAAATTAAACCCGAAGCCAAAACATCGAAAGGATCAGCAAGTTTGGCGACATGATTAGGATCTTCCACACTTATAAATAATCGACATGCTAACCAAAATGTGTAAAGTTTTGCTAATGGAAAAACGATAACTTGTTCTTGATTTTCCCATGATTTAAAATGGCGTTGCGCGATATGATCCATGATTCCAATGTAACGTTGTAATGCCTCGGGTTTAAGGAAATTAGGAAGCATTTTTCTCATTTTAATAGCTTCTTCTTTTGAAGAAGTTTGTGTTGAAGATGGGAATATTTTGTCTACTGAACTTGGCCACCATGGTTGGACTAATTTATTTTCATTGGAAAATAAGAATTTATTGCCAGAGGCACCACAAAAAACAACTGTTTTTTCACCTAAAAGATGAGTTTTAAACACATTGGAAGAGTACTTAGAAATTCTATCAAAAATAAATTTTTCAGGATGACCTTTCCAACCAGTGGAGAGAAACTCGAGGCTTTCTCCGATCACCGCCCAGCCGGAGTTGCCCGGAGGAAGTTGGCCGCCGGAGAAGGTGGATTTATTCTTATTATTGTTGAAGAGAAAGAGAAAGGAGAGGGAGACTAAAAGAATAAAGAGGCAAAGAAGAGAGACATAGAACAACTCCATGTCTTTTGGTATGTTGAAATTACAATTCTTTTGTTACTTAGAGAAATTGGGAAATGCTCTTGGTGTGACTTTGTTTGAGTTTGGTTTTTGTGTTAAAGCTTAAGCATATATATATATATATAGGCACGTATACTTTGTGTGAGGTAATTGACATATTGTGCAGACTATATGGCAAGGAACATTCTTTAATTTGTCTCATCTTTCTTTTTCTTCTTCTTATGCCCCTTTTGTCCATAAAAAAAATTTCTTCTTATTTAAATTTTTTTTCAAAAATGTATTTGTCTTTGCAAGTTTTTAAAAAAAATTCGAAAACGAGTTTTTCAAAAATCAAAAAGTGGTTTTGACCACTTTTTCAAAATTTTCTGAAAAACTTGTTTCCTCACTCACAAAATTACAAAAAATTTTCAAGTGAAATATATCCAAACATAATTTCAAATTTCAAATTCCTTTTTCAACTTAACTCCAAATACTGCTTTTTTTCAAAAATTATACAATTTTTATGTCCAAAAGCATGTTTAAACTTTGATGTTATTTTGGATTTTACTTTAATACCTCGATAATATAAAAAAATTATTGTCAGTTAATATATATATATATATATATATATATATATATATATATATATATATATATATATATATATATATATAGCGAGAGAGAGAGTATGTAACGTGTATTATTTCTAGATTATTCTAATTTTCGTGAACAATAATTTGTAGTTATCATATTAGGTGATTGATAGTATAGCAGTCCTTTCATATTGTTAGGGGAAATTACTCTTTTATTTTTTTGGGTAGGCAAAGGGGGAGGGAATATCTAGCGAGTGTGTAAATACAACTTCATTCCCCTCTCTCATGCGCGTGTGATTGTCAAAAGTTTCAATTTTCATGGCGAGTATAATCCTTTGTAAACGACTTAAATACGCGATGAAATATTATAAGTGACAAAATAGACTTGCTGCCACGATTCATTGAGATTCAACATTTGTCACTCCTATTTATATATTCCCCTCTTTCTCAATACAAATATTAAATTTCAAGTTTGTCACATACGTAATTTTTTCTTTTACGCATTTATGTAGTCGTGGAAAAAAAAAAATATAGACTTTCACGTGAAGTTTAATATGCTTGTGCATAATTTTTAAATTTTGACCTACCCCATTTTGTCAAATTGCATGGAAAATTCATAATAGACAATTAAGCCTCGAAAATATGTTATAAAGATAAATTTTAATCTTGCGATTAAATCAGCTAAATAAGTTGCTTTGTTAAATTAGGCAAGCACTTTGAATTCATCAACTTTGATGCTTACAAACCTAACTTTGGCTAAAGTTAAAATAAGTGCTTCTAAGCCAGAAATTAGGAAATTCGTTAATATAGATGCAAATCCATGTAAAACAGGGTTGGGTATCTTAGAACTTATAGTATTTCTTTAATACAGACGAAACACTTTATGATAGTGTATTTTTACCAGCTAATTAATTTTACTTTGCCAACATATATATAGTAAACTTAAGAATACAGTAAAGAAGTTTGTACTTAATATTCTAAGCGGAATTTATTGAGAAATAAAGTTTTACGTTTTGGAGTTTCGATAACGTTTCTTGATTTTCTATAAAATATATATGCTATCAGTACTTCTTCCATCTTTCTTTAACTGAGGGTCTATCGCAAACAGTCTTTCTACCCTTTCAGGGTAAGAATAAGACTGTGTATATCTTACCCTCCCCGGACTTTACTTAAGAAAACTACACTGAATTGTTGTTGTTGTTGTAAATATGTTGTTACCACTCTATTCTGTTAATGGTATATACTCATGAAATAATAAATAGTCAAAGTGAAGATCTTATTTTAGGTAAATGGGCAACTCCTGACTTTAGTCAAATGAGAAATGGGTAAATTGTCAAATATATTCCCGAACTATTCAATATAGAGCAAATATATCATTATATCATCCGTTAAAACCTAACCCATTTGTATCTATCGTTACACAAGTGGCTCGGATATGTCCTTTTCAGAGGCAGAACTAGAATTTGAAATTTATGAGTTCAATATTCTAATTCTTTTAAGTTACTACTGGGTGTTGGGCTTTTTAAGCTTGGTTTAGCTTAAAAGAGGGTGAATGGGAAATGGAGGGGAAATGAAATATTTGAGTTTCCCTCCTTGACAAAGGGACATTGTCCCATATTGGAGGAAGAAAAGGCTTTTGATGGGTATATATATAATGCTCTTCTTCTAGCTCTTAAAGAGTTAAGAAGAAGTGAAGTCTCGCACCGCTTTCGTCGTCGCTCGGCTTCGGATTTGGTCAAAGATTGATTAATTAATCTTTTTGGACAATTTTTTTAAATTGTATAATAAAATATTAATTAAATTAGCCAAATATCCAACCCGAACCGGATCCGTGCGCGCCCCGATTCACTTTCTTCCCGAATTTTTATTTAAATTTCCCTCCCGTTTTTAAGTGACTGTTCTGAAGAGTTATAAACTTTCAGAAACAGTACGTCCATTGGCTATAACTTCGTTTGACTCCTCATACTTTTCCTTACGAATTTCTGAACTTCAACACTTCTTCTTCTTTTGCAAATATCTATTCCAGTGTGATTTACAACCATTAAGTGGTTCGCAGTTCATCAGAGTTTTTGGTACCAATACATTGGTGAGCTAAAATCGTTCTACCCTGGGAGGATAATATTCCAGCACCTCGGGTACTTGAGGGGAATAATTTCCTTAAGGACACACTGTGCATTCAATGGGCTCGATATATTCCGAAATTATTTTCAGATACTATTTCGATATTCTGTTGCTACTAACTTTTCGGAATACAGGTTGACTAAAACTAGATTCTAAATTAATAATTTGTGCATAATTTGTCACACCTCCTTTTTCTACCGCCGGAAGGGTATTAGGGAGTTTTTCCAATTTAAGTGACAATCGAAATGGAATTATTATTTAAGATCAGAGTCGCCACTTGGGATAGTTTATGGTGTCCCAAGTCACCGGTTTAGAATCCCGAATCGAGGAAGTTTGACTCTGTTTTAATGTCTGCGAAACACAAAAATTCGGGTAAGGAATTCTGTTAACCCGGGAGAAGGTGTTAGGCACTTCCGAGTTCCGTAGTTCTAGCACGGTCGCTTTGATCATACTTGGCTCAATCAAATTGTTTAATTAATTATTTTAGAACCTATGTGCATTTGCCTTTTTAATTAAGAAATTATCTCGAAACAGGTCAGGTGTACGTGTACCCATTTGTTTGGCACGTCAAAATTATGTCACGCGAACGTGTCCACAATTAATAATGCTTTATTATTATTAAGAAAATTTGGCCAAAGTTGCGTGAACGCATACTCCGGTTTTGTTTTTAAGAAATCGTAATCATATCACGCGAACGTGTACGCAATCACGATGGTATATTAAACGGGCCTAGAGCAACTACGAGCATTTGTAATTTTTATATCTAGGTTATGAGATTAATATGAGGGCCATGGGTGATTAAATTAGATGGCACACCTCGGACTATATACACTAAAATTAATTTAGCGGCCTATTAAAATAATTTCATTATTAAGAAGGTTTGATCGAAGTTGCGCGAACGCATACTCTGAGTTGGTTTTTAGAATCATAATTATGTCACGCGAACGTGTACACAATCGCAATTGTATTTTTTAACACGCGCCTAAATGCTTTGCTACGAGCGTTCATTTTTAATAACTAATGATAATATTTGTGAGGGCCATTGGAGATTTAATTAAAATGGCACACCTCAATCCGTTGTAAAGGACTATACTTAATTAAAAGGGTCCAAAATGTTCGGGTTTAATCTAAATTAAGGTTCAATTTACACCTACTAGTTATAAGCCCGCGTTGGATAAAACCAGGTATTTAATCACTTGAAAAAAATCCCGGGCCAACGGTAGGCCCAATGTTGTTTAAAGACCTTCAGAAAAGAATACAAGAAAAGGGTGGGCTCAATGTGAAGCCCAGCATTGGGACAAGAATGGCCATACCGTCCTTCAATATTAGAGAAGCCCTTTTCACTATACCAATACAAAACTTAATGAATTGAAACTGTTGGATATAACAGGGCTCAAAGTTAGGCCCAAGGAGTGACAAGGAGGCAAAAACAAGCATGAAAAGCCCATTGCCCAGCAAGCTGCCTCATATAGGCCCAGGCTAGGCCCAATCACCGTTAAGAATTTACAGAAAACATGATACAAGAATACTAGATATGGACACTAGATTATGAACTAAATTTAACCACCTGCTACATACAGTGGTAAGATGAACATGGATCTAGAACTACTCATTTAAACATACTAATTCTCACATCAACAAAGTACTCTAACATTGCTGAAATTAAATAACTAAACTATGTAGATTCAACAGCCAACATCAACATGATATTCAAGTTAACAATCTTAAATATGAAAGAAACCACAAAAACACATCTATTGATCTGAAAATCTGGACAGTTCATGAAGAGAGGACTAGTCTAGATCCTAATATATGAAATTCTTCCTAAACTATTATCCATTCAACAGATCCCATAATAACCATAATAAGCTGAAGGAAACCAAACTAAAATAAGTATAGTAATTCAAGAAGAACACATGTAAAAGGAACTGAAAGTCCATATTTCATCCATTGAAATCCTCGTTACAAATACATCAAAGCATTTCGCACTTCAGCAGTCATCACAGTCTAAGAAATACCTGGATATCAAGAGCAAAATGATGAGAAAACAAGGAAGCTCAGTGAAGCAAGCGAGTAAAGAAGAAGCAAATGATCAACCAACAAACAATTTCAGCTCAGTCCATATTGGAATCAGAGATCCAAAGAAAGAACTTCAGAGTATGTTTGTTTCTTATTCAGAAAATCAGAAGCGAAAATAATTCAACTCTTTCAAACAATGCAGAAACTTTGGTGTATTTTCTAGGGGTTCCAATGTCTGCCTAAAAAAGGAGGAAAATGGTCCTTATATAGGCACTTCTAAGGCAGCCCTAGCCTGGTTTGCTACTTCCCCTTCTACCCTTTTAAATTTGTTATTTCACCTCTTAGACCTTGCAAAACAGCTGAGCTGTCCCTATTTCTTGGCATACAAGCCTTGT